CCATTGAGTGTGGTCGGATGATTTGTGTAAGCTTTTGGTATGTGTTGTTGAGTTGGGACACCCCATTTGAGAGATTTTGTGAAAAAGTGGTCAAAATGGGTTTTGGTGTCCAACTTTTTATAGAAAATGAATTTGAATATGAAACTATGCCATTAGCTAGAGTTAAGAGAAAGAAAACTCCATGTTGACACTGAAACTATCTCAATCGGATGTCGGATGGAGATTTGAGATGCATCAGAAGTTTGCCTCCTAGGCTATCAAATGACAGTACTGATCTATCAAATTTCATGCAATGCGCCATGGCGCATGGCACAGAGAAGACACACCATGGCGCACGTGTCAAATTCTGTGTGAAAATCTATTTTGAGTTTTAAAAACTCATTATTTGGGTCCCAATTGGTTTTCAAGCTTCCGCTTTGTTTTTAAAACTCTGATTTGGAGTCCTCAAATTATGTTTGAAATTTGAATGGTTGAAAAATTAGGATTCCTTGAAATAAATTTTAAGAAATTCATTTGTAAAACCCTGTAGTTTGTTAATTCTTGAAGGTTAAGCCCTGGATTACCATGATTTGGAGTTAAGTGTGATCTAACCTTAAAGAGGTTACAATTTGGTATCAGTTTCTCTGGTTCTGAGAACTGGACTGGATTTGTGAATTAGATGTGATCTTGCTTGTGAAGGGTGCATTTGGATATAAAAAGTTGGCAGTTGACATTATACATATGTTTTTCCCTTTAAGCTAGTGTTACTACTTTCCTTTTATGGGATAACTTCCATCCTTAGGAGGGGAGAATGGTGCAAACAACAAATACAGCCGGCAACATTCCGATGAATGTATCAAGACAAGTGCGGGAAGTCTTGGTATAAGAGGAGAACATTATCCCTAGTGAGCATGTTGAGATGGGACAAGGCTCGGGTCAAGCTAGAGAGCAAGCAAGGCCTACAACAAGCAATGAGAATATATTGCTCGAGTTGAGAAGTATGATGCAAAGGATTGAACAGAGAATTGACGAGCATGATGAGATTTTGAAGAAAAGACCGAAAGAGTCAAGCAAGACTATAGAAAGAGTTGGCGGTTGTAGTGAAGTGAGATTAGAGAAGGAAATGCTTGATCAACAAGAGGAGGAGTACTATGAAGAGAGTGGATCGAGAAGGCCTGAACTAATGAGGCCTAGAGGATTAGAGCAAGAGAGCTCTATTGATTTACCCTTAAAGAAGTTTATAAGGTTGAATCCTTGAACATTTGAGGGTTCCATGGAGAATAGAGCGGCTAAGAGATGGATAGATCGGTTGGAGATGATCTTTTCTGTTATGACCTGTACGTCTGAGCAGCGAGTACTACTTGCTACTTTCCTGCTTGAGGATGCTGCCAAGCAGTGGTTGGAGAATGTGATACCGGAGGATGGGTCTCCATTGACATGGAGTGAGTTTAAGAGGAGATTCTTCTCCTATTATTTTCCTACTTCCTTCAGAGCTGAGAAAGAGGTTGAGTTCCACCGGTTACAATAAGGGAACATGAATGAAGAAGAATTCATAGCTAAATTCAATGAGTTTTCTAAATACTCGACTTATTTGAGGAATCATGATGATGAGTATTGGAAGGTCGAGCAGTTACTTTAGAAAATGCAGCCTGATTACAGATAGCAGCTAGCACCCTTTGATATTGTCTCATACAGTGACATGTGCTTGAGAGCAGTAGCCAGACAAGGTCGTGAGGCTGAAGACAGCCAGAGGAGAAATGGTCCTACTGGAGGTGCTGGCAAGAGAGCTGGTTATAGCTCTGGACCATCTGGACTGGGTAGTAGTGATAGTAAGAAGAGAAGTTTCCAGAGGGGTTCACACTCTAGAGGTTCCCAAATGAGGAGTAATGCTCCCAAGAGTATGGGTGGGTGGAATCAAGCTTCGAGATAAGATTATGCTCCTATGGTAGCTGGACTAATTAGAGACCTACAGTACAGCCAGTACGGGAGACACCATGTTGGAGAATGCTGGACATGTTTCAAGTACCACATGGTTAGGTACATCACTCGGTATTGCTAAGAGAACGCTCCTCACATGGATCAAAGGTCTGCTATTCCTAGTCGTGTGTTTGCTATGATAAGGGAAGAGGTTGAAGCTTCCCCGAAGCTTATCCGAGGTATGATTTCCTTGAGCAACTAACCAATTTTTTCTTTTTTTGATTCTGGTGCCACTTACTCATTTGTTTCTGATGAGTGTGCAAAAAGACTGAGTTTGTATGTGGTTGAAATGGCTATCTTGATGAATGTGTCTACACTGGCTGGTGCTTCAGTGTGAACCAGTCAGGCTTGCTTAAAAGTAAAGTTGAAATTTGGTGAAATAGTCATAAGTATTGATTTGATTTGTTTTTCCATATTGGGGATTAACGTGATTATTGGCATGGATTAGTTGTCTACTAATGGTACGAACTTAGACTGCAATAGAAAGACAGTTTCATTACTAGTGTATATGGCAGCTACAATAAATGATGAGACTACACCGTTTGTACCTATTACTACTCTGGAGACTCCTAAGTTCCTATCGCCGGTACAGGTAGAGAAATCAGTGAAAGAGGGATGTCAAGTCTTTATGGTGTTCTGCTCAGTACACTGAGTATACAATGGAGCAATAGACAAGATTAGAGTTGTCAATGAGTTTCTTGAGGTGTTTGCTGACAAAGTATCAGGATTGCCATCAGTGAGAGAGAGATTGAGTTCTCAATCAACTTGGTACCTGGTATCGAGCCAATCTCTAAGGCTCTGTATCGGATGGCTCCAATAGAATTGAATGAACTTAAAAAGCAGTTATAGGAGTTATTGGAGAAGGAATTGATTAGACCTAGTATTTCACCTTAGGGTTCACCTGTTCTGTTTGTTAGGAAGAAAGACGGTAGCTTGAGACTGTGTATAGACTATTGATAGCTGAATAAGGTGACAATTAAGAATAAGTATCCATTACCCCAAATCGATGACTTGTTGGATTAGTTGGCTAGAGCAGCAGTATTCTCTAAGATTAACTTAAGATTCAACTATCACCAGTTGAGAGTGAAAATGGATGATGTGCTAAAGACTACTTTCAGAACAAGATACAGGCATTATGAGTTTCCTATTATGCCCTTCGGACTGACTAATGCACCCACTATTTTTATGGATTACATGAATCGAATCTTTAGGCCCTACTTAGACAAGTTCATAATGGTCTTCATTGATGATATTTTAATATACTCAGTTGATGAGGAAGAACATGCTAAGCACTTGCGGATCGTGTTGCAAATTCTAAAAGAAAAGAAGCTTTATGCAAAATTGAGCAAATGTGAGTTCTGGTTATGTGAAATGATGTTTTTAGGCCATGTAGTTTGGCCAGTGGTATTGTAGTTGATCCTCATAAGGTGGATGCAGTGTTATAATGGGAAGGACTGACTTCTGTGATAGAGATCGAAAGTTTCTTGGGTCTAGCAGGATATTATAGAAGATTTATTCAGGGATTTTTCCAGATTGCATCTGTTTTGACCAAGTTGACTAAGAAAGATTATCCTTTTAAATGGACTGATAAATGTGAAGAGGCTTTTCAAGAGCTGAAGCAAAGATTAACAACTGCACCTGTGTTGACTATCCCAGATCCGAAATTATCATTTGTGGTGTATGCGGACGCTTCACTTAAGGGTCTTGGATGCATTTTAATGCAAGATGATAGGTTTATGGCATATGCTTCAAGATAGTTAAGATCACACGAAGAGAATTATCCTACCCATGATCTTGAGCTTGTGGCAGTGGTGTTTGTGCTTAAAATATGGAGACACTACCTTTACAGTGTGCAATTTGAGGTATACAGTGACCACAAATATCTAGTCGACCAGAAAGAGTTGAACATGAGATAGCAGAGATAGATGGAGTTCTTGAAGGACTACAATTTTGAGTTGAAGTACCATTCTAGTAAGGCTAATGTAGTAGCTGATACTTTGAGCTGGAAGACACTACACGTAGCATTCTTGATGATGCAAGAGCACAAGATGCTAGAGGACTTCTCTAATGAGCATAACAATGTTCTTGATTTCGTGTCATACAACTTGAATGTCATGGTGATTACAAGTGAGTTTTGGAAGGAGCTGAGAAAAGCACAATTAGAAGATGAGTACTTGTTAGAAATTAGGGAAGACATTGAGGAGAATCGAATGATGGCTTTTAGTTTCAGTGATGATGGTTTCATGTTATATCACGACTGTATGTGTGTTCCTGATGATAAGGAGATCAGAGAGACTACACTCTCAGAAGCCCATAGAAGTAAGCTAATAATCCACCCTGGTGCTACTAAGATGTACCAGGATATGAAGAAGTAGTGGCGGCAGCACAAAATAAAGCGAGATGTGACCGAGTTCGTCTCTAGGTATTTGACGTGTTAGAAAGTCAAGATAGAACACCAGAAGCCAGCCGGATTACTACAACCTTTGGAAATCCCAATGTGGAAATGGGATAGTGTGTCTATAGATTTCATAATGGGATTGCCTCATACTTAAGCGAGTCATGATGCTATATGGGTGATTGTGGACAAACTGACTAAGTTGACTTACTTCTTGGCTGTTAGAGCGGACTATACCTTAAAGAGATTTGTTGGGGTTTATGTTCAAGAGATAGTATGGTTGTATGGGGTACCAAAAGAGATTGTGTTAGATTGTAATTTAAGGTTCATATCGAACTTCTGGAGAGCTTTACACCAGGCTATAGGTACTAAGTTGAAGTTCAGTGCGGCCTATCACCCATAGACTGATGGTCAGACCAGGAGAATGATTCAAACTCTTGAGGATATGTTGTGAGTACATGCTATTGAGTTTAGTAGAAGTTGGAATAAACACTTACCACTTGTGGACTTTGCTTATAACAATAGCTTTCATACAAGTATTCAGATGGCTCCTTATAAAGCCTTGTATGGTTGAAAGAGTCGATCGCCTCTTTGCTGGACTGAGCTAAGTGAGAGAAGTATTTTGGGTTTGGATTTAATGGATCAAACCATGGAGAAGATAGAGGTAATTCGACAGAAGTTGTTGACTGCCCAGAGTCAGCAGAAAAGTTATATGGATAAGAGAAGGAGACCACTAGAGTTTATGGTCAGAGACCATGTATTCTTGAAGGTATCGCCTATGACTGGTATTGGGAGGTCTATTCGAGCCAAGAAGTTGACTCCTAAGTACATTAGTGCGTTTGAGATTCTAGAGAGGATTGGGCCTTTAGTGTATCGGATTGCATTACCTCCACATTTATCAGGTGTACATGACATATTTCATGTCTCACAACTCAAGAAGTACCAACCCAATCCGTCTCACATTATTGAGCCAAAAGAGGTAGAGTTATGGGAGAATTTGACTTACCAGACTGAGTCGGAAAGGATGGCCAATATGAAAGATAAACTGCTCAGAAATAAGACTATCCATTTAGTAAAAGTGATATGGAAGGGAATGACTCCCGGTGATGCCACTTAGGAAATGGAGGAGAAAATAAGGCAACAGTATCCCCATCTTTTCCAATGAGTTAAGATTTATATGATTTATCAAATTTTGGGGACAAAATTCTTAAAAGGAGGGGAGAGTTGTAACATCCAGAAAATTTTAACCCTGATTAATTAAACTAATAAGGGAAATTAGTGAGTTGATGAGGTGTGTGGCCAGAAGGGCTTAACTTAGCATAATTGATGTGATTTCAGCCTTAAGAGTGGGTCTAGATTGATGATGGGCGACCCGGGCAAGGAAAGAGGATGAAAAGGTAAAGAGTTGTGTTCTGTGCCACACGCCGCGGCGCGTGGTTGGTCTGCTGTAGTGCACAAAGGCAATTCAAACGTAACGGGCTCCTCTGTGCCATGCAGCACAGTGGAGGGCAACGTGCGCCACAGTGTATGGCCAAAAATCTAATAAATCTAATTCATAAGCTGCGTGAAAGTAGAAGAGGAAGAGAGAAGGAAAACGAAAAGCTTAGTTTTGGCTCCACTAAGGCACAATATTTGGCCCTATTGTGGATAGATTGAAGCTCCCAAACACCCAAGGTAAGATTGTGGTGCTTCTTCCTTTTCCTCCCTTATTTATGATTGTTTATGGTAGGGTTTGAGTTAGGAGATAGATTTTCGGTCCATAGGAGTATGGGTCTGATTCTATTGGTTAAAATGAGATTAATAGGAGTGGTTTAATGCATTGGAATACCACATTGATGATTTTAGAAGTGGTTGGTCCATAGGGAGCATTTAATGTCCGAAAATTGGTATTTATAAAGGTAGTTGGGAGAGGTTAATGTACATTAATAATGGTTTGAGGTGTTATTAAAGATAATATGCATTAATAGAATCTAATGAGCCCATTAGGTAAGAATGGGTACTGGTTATGAGTTGATAAAAATAGTATATAAGGAGTTCTATATTGATAAAGCTTAAAGAGCTAGATCATGATGATATCCTTGTGATATGGCTGTAGAGAGGTTCGCTTTGGCACCATTCAAGCTTATTGAAGCTTTGGGAAGTTGATATAGTGAGGGGTAAACCTTTAACCTCTTAAAGGTTTGAGGTAACCGGTGGAAACTTAATTTTTTATAGTTAAATGTTAATTGTGTTGTAAAATATGATTTGTGAGTTAATTTGATAATGCATATTGGCAAATACTTGAGTATGAAATAGTTTTGAGAAAAAAAACCTTGATTCTACCACCATTGATGTTTTATGAAATTAATTGTGATTTATTACTATGGGTGGAGAATTGTGATGAATTATGTGTTAAAATGTGGAGTATACATGTTATATGAGTTCATGTATTGAGTAATGAATGTTGAAATGCATATTATGTGCAAAATGTGTATAGCATGATCATTGGCGGGAGTTTGCCTAGGGAGAGGAGTAGATTGGTTAAAAATTCATGTGGTATTGGCAGTGACTATTGGAATCGGGAATTAGTCTTGGCACCGATCGTTGGAATTGGGAGGTAGCCCATGTCCCATGGTTGATTTAGAACTGTCTCACTTGTTCTATGAGGGACTCAAATCTAACTAGTCTCTACCAGTTTGAGGAGGCTAGATTAGGGGTACGACACCCCATGATTGTTAGTATTGGGGGAAACTGGATTAAATAAGTGAGTGAGTTAACCCTAGCATGGTAGCTCTTCACAAGTGAAAGGTTGGGTTAGTCCGTGAAGGACGTAGCCACGTGATAGCCACCGATTTTGTGTCAGAGGTAATAGGAGGACATAAGGTTGGCACATAATCACGCATATAAGATCGGCCACATGGTTGTTAGTTTTGTGGTCCGACACGTGTTAAGGGCGCATGATTGTTATTTTTGCGACCCTATGTTATGTTTTTGTGAAATAATATGATATGGTGTTTTATGGCAAGCCCGGTCACATGGTTGTTAGTTTTGTAAACTGTGGCCTAATGCTATGTGATATATGTGTTTGTGTGCCTAATTGCATCTATTTACAATTAATATGTAACTGTAAGGGTTAAGTAAAATTTGATTACTGAGTGGTTGTACTCACCCCTCAATTCTCAATATTTTTAGGGACTAGCTCATCGGATCCAAGTCAGGAAAAACATACTGAGGCTTAAGATTGGTGGAGTAAATCCTCCATATGCCTCTTTTTTGCTATTTACATGTGTATTTGTTAATGTAATTGCCAACTAGAATTAATTGTCATGTTTGGTGCACTACTTGCATGATTCTACATTTAACTAGTGTATTTTGTGCCCTGGGTTAGTGAGTTATTGTTGTGAACTCGTGGATAGGGCCAAAATACTTGTGCAAGTAGGAACATATGTATTTTTGAAAAATATGAATGAAATGGTTGATTTGGTGCAACTTTTCCTCCCCCATTATGTTTTATGAAAATTGGGGTTGAGTGGTGATTTTGTGATATAAGTGTGTTTGATTGTGTGTAGTGTGTTACACAAGTCCACAAAAGTCCATTGAGTGTGGTCGGATAGTTTGTGTAAGCTTTTGACATGTGTGGTTGAGTTGGGACACCCCATTTGAGAGATTTTGTGAAAAAGTGGTCAATATGGGTTTTGGTGTCCAGCTTTTTGTAGAAAATGAATTTGAATATGAAACCTATGCCATTAACTAGAGCTAGGAGAAAGCTCTGTGTAGACACCAAAGCCACCTCAATTGAATGTCGGACGGGGATTTGGGATGTATCAGAAGTTTGCCTCTAGGGCTGTCAAATGACAGTATTGATCTGTCAAATTTCATGCAGTGCGCCACGGCGCATGGCACAGAGAAGACACGCTGCAGCGCACGTGACAAATTCTGTGTTAAAATTTGTTTTGAGTTTTAAAAACTCATTATTTGGGTCCCAATTGGTTTTCAAGCTTCCAATTTTTTTTAAAACTCTGATTTAGAGTCCTTAAATTATGTTTGAAATTTGAACGGTTGAAAAATTTGGATTCCTTGAAATAAATTTTGAGAAATTCATTTGTAAAACCCTAAAGTTTGGTAATTCTTGAGGGTTAAGCCCTGGATTACCATGATTTGGAGTTAAGTGTGATTTTACCTCAGGGAGGTTGCAGTTACTATGTTCTAATGCTGGTGTTACAATGATGAGTAGGCTCTAAAAAAAAGCATATAACAAGTGTTGTTCTTATAGTACTGGTGTAATCCAATACATAAAAGATGAATATTTTTGATAATTTTAAGAGAATAAGAATATTTCTAAAAAGATAACTCAAAACTGATATTAAAAGGAAATAACACCAATGTAACATATCAATCAAATCTCTTCGTAGGATAGAAGAGAGGATAGTACCGGTGTTGAAGTGTTAGCAAGTGTTGTACAAACTTGAACAAAACTTAGTATAGGTACTAACCAAGTAACACTCAACCAAAGACAAATGAAGAATAAGACTGATATTGAGTAGATAGTACCAGTGTAAGGAAAAAGATTCAAATAAGAGAGAATCAATTACACAAGTTTAAAGGTATAATACTGGTGTTATAATGGGTAGAACCGGTATTATAAGAAACACAAAACAATAGAATAGTGAAGATAATTGAGGTAGCATCGGTGTTAAGGCTTCCAGTACCAATGCTAATAATACTTAGAACACTTTAGATCAAGACAACTTCAAGTACAAAGATTATAGTCAAGTCAAATACTTAACTAACAAGATAGCATACCTTCTATTATGTATAAACTTTCACTTAGTCAGATTTGATTAACGTTAAGCTAATGAACTTAGTTTTAGTTAAGAAAGCTTGAAACAAACAAAACTTCTCTCTATTTTGTAATCGTTAAAACTAGGGTTTAACATTTCTCCCCTTTTTTGATGATGACAAAACTGAAATGCAAAGTGTTAGTTCTCAGAAAGACTTTAGTCTCTCCTTCTTAAAAGAGATAATACAGATTAAAATAGAAGAAATGCACATTATATATTCAAAAGATGTTATAAATGTTAGAGAGAGTTTAATTAGATGAACAAGCAAATACTCAAACAACCACTCAGTTCACTTCTTGAAGATAGTACCGAAGAAATCCATTAACTCATGGAGTTTCTTGGCAGTGGGAGATGAAGGTTTGGGTGTTTCAGAGGGTTAAGAGGATTGAGGTTTAGAGGATTTAGATGAAGGTTGGGGCTTAAAAGTATTTGAAGTATTTGCTCTAAATCTATTGAGTTTAGGCAAGGCACTTCTTAGTCTTCTCACAGCAGGTTAAACCTTATGCTTGCCACTTCCCGAATCTTCAACCGCATGCTTGTCTAACCTATTATCTTGAACCTTACTATAAAAATTGTTGTCTACCTTATTTTCTAACTTTGCATCCTTACCCTTCTCCCCTTTTTTGTTATCAGCAAAAGAGTTAGATAGATCAACAAGGACAAAAAGATTGGAGGAAGGCATGTAGGAAGAAGAGGTACCACTTTTAGTTCAAACTAGTCTATTCTTGAACCTTGGTAAAGGCTTGAAAATTGCACCAAATTCTAAAATGGCAATGAGTGGTGTAGGGGACAATACAAAATTAGGATTTCTCCTAATCAAGTCTTGCAAGGCTTTTATATAGTTGATCCTAGATAAAAAGGAAGTAGAAGGTGGAGGTAACTATGCAAACTCCAATTCTTCCTCATCATCAGAGATCTTAATATATTCTTTGGCAATCTTGGCCACAACTAGTGCAAGCTTATTGCTATTTGATGCATGAGATTCAGCTTCTTCTTAATTATCTTTAAACATAGCTCTCAATTTAGAATCAATAGAGAAAACTAATCCAACCCTCAGATTTTTAAACTTGGAGGTATTTATAGGTCACTGTCAACATCCTCCTCAGTTCCCTTCTTTGAAGTAGAGGTATTGGATGGGTGTACTGACATAAAATCTTCAACAAACTTTGCTCCAACATTCTCATGTAGAGAGACACCAATAGGAGTACCCATCCTAAAGGAGAATAATACCCGGATGAGTCCTTTGGTCTAACTAGTATACCTCCCAAACTCAAAAATTGAACCCTCAACAAGCCAA